TGAGACAGCTGTGATTAACATATATGAGAAGTTTAGAGAAAGATGTAGAAAGATGCAAGATTTTCTCTGGTTCTTGGTAAGGGATTCGTAGTCCCTTTCTCACAGAAATGATTTACTTCTAAAGTGCATTGAAATTCATTTGGTTAACACCCATTGCTGCTATAAGAAGGACATTTCTTGATGTGTTAATGCTGCTGTGAGTTGCCTGCTGCTAAGCAGCAGCGTGTGGTTTCTGTCTCCAACATAGGCTTGGGCAGAAAAAAATACCTATTTTGGAAGATGTCTTCAGACAAAAGGCAATCCTACTGAAAGCTCAATTTTTGTGTACCCTTTTTCTAGTACTCAATGATGTGTATCAGGAGAGCAGGCAGTGGTAAGGACTCCTTTGGAAAGATGCTTCTGTTAACGTGGTGGTACAAGAGAATCAGGGTTAAAGAAAAATATATTTCCTGATGCAGGCTGATTTGGGAGTTGTCTGGGAAATTCCCAGCAGAAAGTTATCCCATCTTTATTATTCCATAACCCAGAAGTGTCAAAAAAAGAATAATAACAGAACTTTCACTGACATGGTTGGCATCTGTACAACTCCTAGGGCCATTGTGATTTCCAGAGAAAGTGCTGACTCTGGAGTTAGGCAGCCTAGGTGGCCTAAAGAATTGTGTAAATGGAACCAGTGGAGTGTAGCGGTCTAAAATTGAGGGTTGTGATCACATTCTGAAAGTGTATACACTAAGCATTCACCAAGTGGCAAAGAACATCAGTTCAGTTGGAGCCATTTTCATGGTAGACTACTACAATTAAGGGAGGCAAATGTCACCTTTTGTTGTACTTGTGATGAAAAATTGTGCTGTACTAACGTCTTTATCACTGCATTATCTATGTTTTCAAGAAGCGCAGCAGCGTCTTTTGATCTCAGAGGAGAGAAAAACTTGAAATCAAATTTGCAGCAAACTCTCCAAGGACACTCATGAGTGATTTTCTGTCCAGATGCCAATGCCTTCTTCAAGAGAAAACAACTTTTACATTATCTTCTCTACCTATCTGGACTAAATTGGTCATTGGTGTAAATAGATTTGCCTCTGATGACACTGAGTTTCATTCATTTAGTTGTACAGTAACAAATTTTGTCCCACCATATATTTATAGATAAACTTTTATCTTCTATTGTCTTATTACGGCTTGAAGGGAAAGAATAAAAGAAAATGGAAAATGAAGAGCAGAAAGGGGGAAGTGCTGTAATACGGAGTCTCATATATCCATATGTAGTGAAAACTAAGAGGGAAAAAAAAGAAAACCTGCTAAAAGAGAATTGCAAATAAATGAACATGGAGGAATGTACAGATACTTTTTGTTCCTAAGAAAAGGAAAAACTTGATCAGTCTTTAGAATCTGCTTTGATTTCATTGAATCATGAAATACCCAAATGAAAATTAATCATGTGAACTTTATGCCTTTGAATCTTGATCATTAGAGAGTGACATACCATCTTGGCTACCAGCACAGCAGTTGATTCATGTGGTTGATAAATGACTGCTGATCCTCTTAAATGAGTTTTTGAGTATTCAGGTCCAGCTTCACAAAGCAATTTAAATGCCTAACTCTGTAAAAAGGATGTTACAGACTCTGAGTTTATCATACAGGGAAGAAAGTCAGATGAGTAAGGAGGGAATTTTCAGCAGTCAGCATATGGACCAAGTGGGTGCTTAGACCAGCTACTAGCAAATGCTAAAGAGGGGGATGTGCCTGAAATCTTCCATTTTTCCTAGATTTAGGAGCATTAAGCCAGGGATTCAATCTAAACCCTTTCCCAGTTCTTGAACGCCTTACTTATACTGTCAGGTGTCAGTCACACTCAGGCATCTCTTACTGGAAATTCCCAAGTGTCTTTATATTGACTCAGCTGCCACCTCACGCTCTTTACATTAGCAAAATGGGAAAGGTTCTCCTTCTAGCCAGAAAGTGAACTGAGGCCAGGAAGCAGTTCCTGAATATTGGTGTAAATCTATTTATGTCTGTGGCATTATTCTTTAAGAAAACCCTGCCTTTGAACTCCAACTCTCTGTGTGGACAGCACTGAAGAGAATACATGGGAAAACATTCTCATTCCAACTGGCAGCGCCAGACTCCTTTCTGTGTAATCCTCTAGCTCTATCTTGCTTCATGGCTTTGCTCTTCTCCATAGTGGTGAGAGCCAGTGATGCCTCAGAAGGGTGAAAGACAATGGGCAGAAAGCAGGAATTGCTGTTGTCCCTGAAACCATGAGTAACATAGTTTTCCTAGCAATTGCTGTCTGCCTGTTAAAAGAATTGCCAGGAGGGTTACAGGATAACTAATTTTTTTTTTTTTCAGGAGAAGAATAATTGCAGTTTGCTGAAGTTTTCCTGGTTCTTCCAATAATTTGGTTGCTGGACTGATATACATTCCCTCTGCGCTTCAACTTTGACTGTTTTTTCACCTAAGTGGAAAATTCCCAGAGAAGTCAAACTTGCCAAGACTAAATTTGCAGTCACTGATGTTTATTTCTTGTTCAAATAGAGAGACCCTGAGCACTTTGACAGGACAAACCCTATCACTTAAAGAACAAGTACATTGGTTTTCTGACCAAAATATTAAGTGAAGATTGTGCTACAGCCCTGCAAAACCTGATTTTTTTTTTTTCAGATAAAAAAAAAATAAGCTGGTTCTGAGATCTTGGCAATTCTAGTACCGTGAGTTTGGTTTTTCACTCAACTGTCTCTAGCGTAACTAAATTAGAGAGTAGTTGAGAATACACTGGTTTAAATAATCTGTGAAAAAGCTACTTGCTCCTTCTTGTTCTTAGTTGCCTGTCCGACACACTTACATAAGGTTCGCAATCATCTCTATTTCTAGATACATAATTCTAGAAAAAAATAAAACCAGCCTTCAAATGTGATTTGGCACATACGCTAAACCCATCTTAGAAAAGTTGTGTGCACAAACCCCAGGTTATCTGATATGCAGGACACTGGATTTGCCCTTTTTTGGTTCCTTGTGGTTTATGGGGATTGGGTGCACAGGCCTCTGATCTTGGCTAGGGCTGTGGGCTTTGCTACCAGTCCGAGTAAGATGGGATGGAGATCATTTTGTGGAAAAGTGACATAATTAGTTGGGTACCAATTAAATCTGCATTATTCTGGACATTTCTGAAGAGGTTCAACTGCTCCAAGGCCAGGCTGGATGGGGAAGGTGTCTCTGCCCCTGGCAGGAAGGTTGTAAACAGATAATCTTTAAGTTCCCTTCCAACAGAAACCATTCTGCGATTCTGTGAGCTGACTTGTTGCGGTTCTATTCGTGTCTTCTCTCTTCTTTTTCATCATTACACTTATTCTGTTGATTTAACTTGTCCACTGTGCCTATTCTCTCCACTTATTTTGCAGAATATTTGTTCTTTTGTTGCTGTCTTCTTGTTTCCCAACGTGGTAGTCCTGCTGTCTGTCTTTGTGCAGTACTGAAGGATGTCCTGCTGTCTGTCTTTGTGCAGTACTGAAGGTGTAAGGGCCCTGGGTATCATCACCATGCAAGCAATTAGTAACCACACAGCACTGATGATCATGATTTTATTCATATCAGAGCACAGATAGGTATGATTGGCTAACAGCACTTAGAATCATATAATCACAGAATCATAGAATAGTTAGGGTTGGAAAGGACCTTAAGATCATCTAGTTCCAACCCCCCTGCCATGGGTGTAAGTTTCTGTCCTTAATTTATTTCAGGTTATTCTTCTTCTTTTCTGTTTGAATGGCAATTTTATTTAGTTATAGTGGCATCAAGTTTCAAAATGTGAAATGAGAGGTGGGTAGTAGTTATGAAGACACCAGTAGAGTCCCAAGATGAAAATATAAGTGTATTAACTAACTCTCAAGGGGGATGACCAACTTGCTGCTCTCTGAGGGCACATTAAATTGTGTGGTTTTCACATATGCCACTGGTCAGACTGCACATCTTGTTTGTTTGATACCCTGTCTCTGGCACAGGCAAGTCAGGGATACCTAGGGGAGACTGTAGAAATCAGGGAAGCATTTTGCAATGCTTTCTCAGCTTAATTTCCTGGCTTCCAGAAATTTTTCTGTAAGGGATTCCTTCTCATCTTATTATTACTGATACAGAGGTTATTTGGTCATCCAGCTCCAAACTGTAGAAAGAAGTGGGTAAAAAGGTAATTTCCTGTGGAAATAGCTAAGTGTCTAGGCAGTGCCATCTCACAGGTATTAATATGGGACACACGGAAACTGTTGTGAACTATTTATAAGCTCTGCTTTCCCATTTCCCTGAGGTGTACGGTATATGTCCTATGTCTTGGGCATCTGCTTAGTAAGACCAGAAAAACTGGTCAATTAAGATCTTCAAGTCCTACAGACCATTTGAAGTAAATAAATTTTTTACTGAACAGAATATATCTAGCATAATTTGGATCATACTAAAATTCCAACATGTACCATGTTTGTCTAAATTTACTTTTTTGATTTGCCTGTTACATGGTTCCTCATTGAAATCTCACTGTAATTGGAAGGGTAAAACCAATAATTAATTTGTTTCTGTTTCTTTGTTTTTTCCTTCTTTCACTGGCATGGTTCTGTTGTGTAAGTGCATTATAAAACAGAAGGAAATAAATTTGGTTATATGGAAAATCAAAGCCATCTGATGTCTAGAAAGAATAAGAACTCAGGGATGACAGGCCGCAGACATCTGGATTTTTATTTAAACAGTCTTCAGCTATGTATCTGAATCATCTTTCGAAAGGCAAATATCTTTAAAAACCCCTTATTGACTGTCTAATACTATCCAGGTGTGTATTTGATTTTATATTCGTACTAACATATTGTCCAAGTGAAAAAAGTCTTGAGTTAAGTACAATTCAGAAGCTGACACCTAGGCATTAAAAGGAGAAAACGGAGAAAAAAAAGAGGCGGCAGAGAAGTAGGCTAATTTTAAATATCTAACTTTCAGGACTTGTGCCTGGAGAGTCAGTTTCTGAGTCTGGATCAGATTTGGGATAGTTTAAAGTCGGAGCACCCCCCGTGATTTACAGCCGTTAAAGCAGGCAGAGGTCTGAGAACACAGGGCTAAATCTGAGGCATGCATTCAAGTCCCGCTGTGATAAAAGCAGAGGCGGTTAGACCTTTTGCTCCTAAAGACGCTCTGGCACTGCAGGGATATTCATTTTGTCTGCAAAATCAAGCATGTAATTTCCCTTCTCCCTTGCTTTCTCCTTCTGTCTCTGTCTCCGGCCAGTCCAGTGGCTCAGCGGCAGCAGCCAGTCTCCCTGGTGACAGCCAGGACAGCCAGCCTTCAGCAGGGTGGTGTGGGCTACGCTTTCACGGCAGGACGTGGGCTGGAAAGCCCCCACATCGGCTTTTTCCTGCCTGTCAGGAGTGCTTTAGAGCAAGACTGGGGAAACCCTGAGACATCACCGTGTTTGAAAGAAAAAAATGTGAAGAAATCATGTAAATAAAAACAAAACAAAGAAAAAAAGTCCAACACCCAAACACACCCCCCCCCCCAAAACCAAACCAAAAAAAAACCTCAAGCCACAAACCCCCAAATAATCTGTCCCTCAGCATCCAAACTGAACTCATAGAAAGCTTCCAGTTTATTTGCAACGTTATGTCAGATTTACACAGTGGTCACAGAGATTCAAACTGATCCCTACCATTCATCAGTTACAACCAGCTTGTATGAGCGTGTGTTTGCCTGTACAGCTGTCAGGCTTGGCATCAGATAAGATTCCCAGTCCACAGAGCCAGCAGAAGCGACATTTCTACCTGTTTTCAAATGAAACAGAGGTACTTGAATCTCTAGAATGTGGATTTAGTTGTGAGCTTTATCTGCTACTTTCAGATGTTATCTGCTGCTGGTGAAGCTGAGCATGAATAACTTACCAGCCTGCACAGATAACTTTGCTTTTTGTTTCAGTCCAGCTCAAGACAGAAATCCCATAAAAGCTTTCATTCCAATCCATGGGCTGAATGATCATACAGGAGTTGAAGAAGTAAAATTCCTGAGGCACTCCTTAAGACTTTTCCAAGAATTTAAAAAACCCTCTTATAAACGGCAGCAGAGATCGAACACTGGAGGGGAGGGAAGGGGGGGGAGCGGGGGGGGAGAAAGGAAGAAAAAACTTTGGCAGGCGTACAGTGTCTTACATCAATCTAGCAGTCAGCATCTATGTAGATGTTCTTTCCTCCTTTTGTGCAACACCCCTTTCCTCCTACAGACCACCCAAAGCCCTATAAATAATCCAGGGGCTGTATTTTTTCTCCAGATTACTCTTCAGTCCTCAAAGGAAAAATAACAGGCAAAGGAAGGGAGAGAAGGAGAAGGGAAAGTGAGGAGGGGAAAGAGAAAGAGAGGAAAGATGGCTAGTGAATTCAAAAAGAAAATGTTCTGGAGGGCAGTGGTGGCTGAGTTCCTTGCCATGAGCCTTTTTATTTTTATCAGCATTGGCTCAGCTCTGGGTTTTAGCTTCCCAGTGGTGGGCAACAAAACTTCAACAAGGTCTCAGGACAACGTGAAGGTTTCTCTGGCTTTTGGGTTATCCATCGCTACTATGGCACAAAGTGTGGGCCACATCAGTGGTGCACACCTGAACCCAGCAGTGACCCTGGGCCTCCTGCTGAGCTGCCAGATCAGCATCTTCAAAGCACTCATGTACATCATTGCCCAGTGTCTGGGGGCAGTGGTGGCCACAGCTATTCTGTCGGGAGTCACCTCCTCTCTCCCAAACAACCTCCTGGGGCTCAACTCGGTAAGTAGAAACTTTTAATTCCTTCTTCATTTTTTTAGAGTAGAAATGTAAAGATGTGGTGGGGGGGTGGTGGTGGTGGTGATGTTGGCAGTGATGGTGACCTCAGGTAGTCATTTGTTTATTAAAGTCCTGACTGATACCAGGATAGACATGTACCATGGGGATGGTCCTTCCTCACCACCTGTATTTTGGAACTTTAGGATGTTATGGTCATGTTCAATTTTGTACATCTAAGTTGCTGAAAGGTGCCTTTTAACACCTGTTTGACACGGAAATCACTAAGAGTTGCATAATCAAGTCCCTTTTGTTGTTCTGAAGGTTTCAGACAACGTGCTGATTAATATGCATATATCAATGTTGTTTTTGCTACTATGATGAATATTGGTTTTGCTACTATGAATATTGTTATTTTTCAATACCTAATTAATGGGTTGTGTAACCTGTTGATGAGTGTAATGAAAACCTGTAGGAACAGCAGGAGAGAAGTGTAGCAAGAGAAAGCCTAGCACCAAAAGTGTGAACATTACCTGTTGTGTTAGGCAGGGTGCTCAGATCTAGCCTGACACAGAATTCTATCTGCACTTGCTGTGAGTTTCTGCTTTTGCAGTGCAAAATTGGGAAAACCCTGCGTTCTCAGTGTAGCCTGGGGAAAGATGTGAGGCAGCTACATTTAACAGGGGTGCAGGTTTCACCCCTCACCCAGCAAGGTGCTAACATCACACTACATTAAAAATTGCCTGGTCACAACTTCTCCTCAAAACATTGACATTTTACACCTGTCCCATAATGTGAGAAAAAAGGATAGATACACTTCTAAACTTGAAATCATCTCACTGTCAGAGCTACTGCTGCTGCCACTGCAGTACACTGGGTAATATAAATGAATTTGCCTTATAGTCACTTGTTTCACCTCATTCTGTTAGGAACAAGCATTTAACATCTGGTTTTTTTTTTTGTCTTTTTTTTTTTCCTCCCCTTTCTTGAGAATATTCCTGACTGCAGTTTGAAACTTGAGCTAGTTTGAAATCTTATGCCCATTTGGAGTCACAGGGATATCTGGGACATAAAGCTGCAAATACAATATCTCCTCAGGAATCATTTAGGCAAAAGGGGAAGAAAGGAACAAAAAAATTAAATTAACAAATTAATTTGCTTTTGCATTATAGTTAATTCAGAAAGTGAGGCAGTTTTTGAAAACATACTACAACCTGATATGAAGAAGGTGATTCCTGAGCAGCTTAGTATCATCCACCCTCGTGTTACTCTGCAGGCTGGTTGCTTACCTTCCTTAAGCCTTGTGGCTGCAGGTATTCCATCGTGCCAATGTTTTGGAAATTTTGATGGGTTTATACAAAATATTTTGGGGAAAAAAAGCAAATAATTTTATTAACTCCAGAAGGCTCTGGCTGTGGGTGTCATACGTGCTCTTTCCCTCTGAAACCACTGGCAGAGGGAATTGCTCAACCGCATGCGACAGAGTATCCGCCCAAGTGGTTTCCTCGAGAGGTCCAACTGCCATTAAACACAGGAGGTCTGGTTTCAACAGCACTCATGTTTGGTCCTACTCTTTTGCTTGCCACGAAGTGCTGACAGCTGGCTTATTTGCCTGTCCAAAAGCCCTGAAACTGTAAAGGGGATGTAGATAATAATCCAAAACTCTTCTTGCTCCTCAGTGAGTAACTCTTCAGACTACAAAGATATTATTCAGAGCCCTGCACAAAGACATCTCAGAACAGAACCAAAGAGGACAGATGGAAAGAATAGGAATGATCAGTGAAGTTACTGATCTTGTAAGCTTAGGACACTACTTCATGACCCTGAAAAATTTTAGGATGGAAGCTCTGTTCCTCCTTGAGTAATGCCTCTGGAATACCACCATTGTTTTAAATGGCCATAAAATACAGGCAAAACCAGATAGTGTAAGTCTTCATCATACCAATTTTGCAAATCTGGCAACAGTTTCTGTGCAAGAATTAATGGATAAAATAGTTCGTAAAAGCCCTGGTCTCAGTGCTTGTCATTGTCAAAGTCTCAGAATATTGACTTTTTCTCTTTCACATTCAGTTATAAATGTTCTGGCTAGAGGAAGAGGTGGGAGACCTCCCTAGGGATGGGGAGGGCAGCAGCTGTTCTTCTCCCCTGCAGGAAAGAGCTAGAGAAGAAAGCAAAAAAGCACTGACAAGCCAGAACTGTTTGGGGAGGGAGGTGAGAGTTGAGGAGGGAGTTGGATCTGTGCGCAGCACAGGGGAGAATGGCAAAACAGCTGTCCTTGTGCAGAGCTGATCACAAACAGGGCATACTCTGAAACCACAACCCAGCACTGAGAGCACACTGCTTCCTTTAACAAATAGATGATAAGGGGAAACCACAGATATTTGCTTTTATGTCATGCTTTTTAACCTGAGGAGGGAGGGACAGAGCTGGTATCCCTGCCAGCTGCTTTGTCTTCCTGCCCTTCCTCTGGAAAGTGAAGAGTAGATTCACTATTGAGAAAAAGAATATGGAGAAGGGGAATGCTGTTTCTTTAACAAGGTTGGAAGAGGGTTTGGATGTGCGTGGCTCTGTCCTCTGTTCTGTCCCTGTCATGCTTTTGAAGGAGTGTTATAGGAAAAATGCAGGAGCAATTTAATGATGTCAGTGGCTATCCAGTGTCCCCGGTGGATACTTGGTGGGACTGCATGCCTGAACTTAGATTTATCCTGCCCAGCTGTATGTTCTGCACTGAGGTGCCAAGTGAGGAGCCCATTTCCGTAGGCTGATCTCTATTTCACAGAGAAAAAGAGACAAAGAGAGGTATGTCACACTTCAGATTTGTTGCATTGTCCTCCAGAAACAGCCAGCTCTTCAGCATGGTGAGGCTCCAGCATAGGAACTTTCTGTTAATATTCAAAATGAAGTAGGATGAATTTGTGCCTTTTTCATTGCCGAAAGAGAAAAAAGGAAAAAAGCAAATGGAAGCACAGAAAAGAGTCATGGAAGGTGCAGGACTGAAGAAAAAGAAGGGGCAATGAAAAGGCAGGAAGCTCCTTTAACATGTTCATGTTTGTTTTATACTAAGACAAGGAAAACAGTCACATCTGAAGAGTTTGATCCAGACTTCACTGAAGTAAATGGAAATATTTTTAGTTACTTTGGCTGATTTCAACATCATTCTGGCCAATATTCAGAGAGGTATTTAGGTTACTGAATCCTTTTAAGACATTTAACTTCCCATATATATTGGTAGTGTTGTGGGTGCCAAAGTAAAACTTTCAGAATTGGAAAAGCTGAAAGAGGATTATGCAGTGTGCTTGTTGTTCTAAAAAATTAAATCTTTTTCCTTACACAATCTTGTATCTTTTTTGTTTTTTGGCAATTGCATTACTATGTGTTACAAATTTTCACTAAGTAAAACTATAAGAATAGAGAAAACCTAATCCTAAATGCACTTAACTGCCAGCATAGCTGGCTATTGTCTAATGAGGACAGATCCGTAGTTTGGATAATGGAAGAAACTATTCATCATGGGCAGTTAATGACCAACAAAGAGCTCAAGAGGAAAGGTGGGTGAGAGAAGAATTTTGTACTTTAAGCTAACTAACACAGTATTCACAGTTCAGCCATGATTATCTTGAGAACTTTTATCAAGGTTTCAAAAACATGCTGAGAAAATTTCTTTATATCAGTGTTTTTTGTTTTCTTTCTTTTGTTTGTTTGGTTTATTTTATTTTTTGGTGTGAAAATAATTGAGTTTCTAAAAAATGCAGACACTGCTTTACAATTTCAGAATTTCTGTATTTTGACATACTGAATAGAGTGCGAGGAAATGTGCCCCCTAAGTCTCTGGACTACAGTTTGAAAACTCTGCCTTGAAGTTTATTATGAAAGATATCATTTTTTAAGTTGTAAATGGATCAAAAATCGTAGGCAAGAAGAACAGGCCTGAAGGTAGTGTTGCTCAGAGCAGATAAAGAGAAAATAAAAACAACCAAGAAAAACAAATAGAAGGACTTGGCTTTAAAAAACACAGTGGACTGAGGAGTGATGGCTGTGTAACTGAACAACTTCCTGGAAAAGTCAGAAGGGATGTGTGGTCAGTGGTTTCAGAGGCCTGGAACATTTTCTTAAGACAGGTGAATAGTCACATAGATACCACCCCTGGAGAGTGGAAAGTCACTTGTTGCTGGAACACCCTTTGGATTTCCAGTGCAACCAGCTGTATCTCTGCCACTACTGCGCAGCAGAGTGTCCCTGAAGTTGGATCAGCTGTGGCAGAGGAATTGGTGCACATAAGTGTGCAATGACTTTTGGTGTTAAACACACAGTGGCCAAATCTAAATCCTTTCTCAAAGGCAGCAAGAAAGGAGCCCTTTGCTGCCCTTGGTTCTTCCTACCCAGGCAGTATGTGCTGCTTGGAGCCATTCTCCACCCTCACGAAAGTCACACAGAATGAGTCTCCTTTCCATTTATCTGGATTTTGGTCCAGTAGCAACAGAGCAGCTTTGAACCCCTATCCTTGAGATCGCTTTTTTTTTTTTTTTTGTCTCTGCAGTTTATGTGTTTCACAGCTGCAGCCTTATTCTACTACTTGGGAAAGCTGAAGGCAGAACAGTATCTTGCCTCATGGAAACCGAAGCATAGGATGGGGCATATGATGTATGGATTCTTAGCTTCTGCATATGTATCATCTTATCCCTAGGACATCAGTGCTGTGATTTTTCTCCCAACAAATTCCTAAGGCACAGAGTCCTCTAGTGCAGACATTAAATTGCCACTGCATTTGGAGCTCCCTCATAAAGTTGAGACCTGCCATTCCTCATAATGGTGTGTGTGGGTCAGTAGTGATGTTTTTATCCCAGTATTCCTTACTGCATCTTTCCCATCCTTTAGAAAGCTTCCTCAGAGGGGATCATGAGCAGGAATCACCAGAGTCCCTATGCTTGGTCCAAACCTGTGCACCAGCGGTGGCCTCTGACGATGGGGACTTGCCTGGCTGCCCTTGATGACTCAGTGTTTACCTTGTGATTTCCCTCTCTCTTTATGCCCGCACCCTATGAGTCTGTTCTCCAACCTCAAAATAAACAAAGTTGGGTTACATTGGAAGAATTTCCAAAATAAACTTGACAGTGAGTGTGGACAATTGAGTAAGCGATGTTGCTTTTCCTCTGAGTCAGTATGGAAAATTGCAGTTCCAGAGGTGCCACTGGATGGATGAGACATGCAGTTGGGTTCCTGCCCTACAGTACTTATTAAAAATCCCTGAATGCTTTTGTTTTCAATGCAGATTATATACTGCATCTTTCTCAAATTTCAATACAATGAGCTTTGTTCTCTTTGCCACTGCCCTTTACACGCCTTGTTTTCTATCCAGTGTCGTCTTTTCCTGCCAGCCTTGCCTGTGCTGGGACATCTTCGTGCTTAAGCACTCAAGCTTCTACAAGGGGCCAGAAATTGCTGTATTTTTAGAATGAGCAAAATGGTTCCTGTTCATAAGATTAGTCTGGAATTTTTATTTATTAACAAAGAGTTCCAAAACAATAGCTCATTATTCAATTTCTGTTCTACAGCAGCAGCCTTTTATGGCATGCCAGCATTGTATTGAATTGGCCGGGCAGGTGGAACACAGGAAAGACACCTGCTTAAAACTGGCCGTAGCCTTGGCTGTTTTCTAATGTTCACACATTGTGACAGCAGAAACATCTGGGCTGACATGTAAACCTCACAGTTATCACCCTTAGTGATCATCCACCTGCAGGACAGCCTTTTGGTGCTAGAACAGAGTGGTTCAAAGTGGGTTTTGTATCATGAATGGGGTTCATGTCCAGAAGATGACCGGTGCATTTTTTGAAAAATGCTCTGCATACTTCAGAATAAAGGTCCTCTTTATTTATTTCTTCTCAGAAATTACAGAAATTCATGAGAGAACTGCACAGAGGGTTGCAAAGTAGTGAATTGCAACAGAACTAAAAATATTAATTTGGTAGATTGGTTTACATTGTGATTTAAATGGAGTCAAGCCGGGATTTTTGGAGAATGATTTTTTTTTTTATGTTTGATCAGCTGTCAGCCAAGGTAAGATCAGGTATGAAATATAAGGAAATTAATTTTGCCACCACCTTTCTTAACTGGTCAATAAACAGTTAAAATTATTTCTCTTTCCTTAGCATTCTATGTATCATGCCATATGTATTTAGATATTTTGTGTGTATGTGTTTACACACCTCCACACACACATACACAAAATAGGTAGCTTGATAGCAAGATTCTTCAAATGAAATAACGCCAATCTCATTTCCCAATTTAAATTGGGTAGAAAAAAAAAATACAAAAATCTGTTGATGGGGGTCAATTCTAAATCAAGATCTGACATAGCAAGAACCCCAGCCTGTGAAAAAAAGGTAATTTCCACAGCAAACATTAGAGTGAATATTATGGATCTCTTCTGATTAAATGGATGCAATGGTAAAAACAACGTAAATCATTGTAGCAGGGCTCAAGCACTTCAGCAGATGTGAACCTTCAGGTGAGTTGAGAACGGCATCTCTTTAATCAGAGAATCCTAGAACGTGTCACTACCTTAGATGTATGCAGCTACATTTAACGTTTTTAAAGCAAAGATACTAAGCCACATCACAAGCGCTAAAGGAAGAAAAAATAGCCCTTGAAAAATTTCCTGTTTGTCTCAAGACGAAATTGCCTGGGTTTTTTTACAGCAGTAGTACATTTTTGTTTATTTGTGCATTCTCTAGCTTAATTGAGATAATTCAATAACATCAATACCCTTACCTGGCATCACAATTGAAAATGTCAAAGAAATCTTTATTCTTAGAAAAATCTGCATTCTGGTGTTAGGGAAACCAGTCCAAACTGTTCTGTTTGTGCTTAAATTCATAGATAGCAAATGGTGTGTTATGTGTCTACATTCTTCAGTTTCTGTATTTCCCCATCTTTAAACTGTTGTCTGTATTCCAAATATACAGAGGCAGAAGCATCCTTTTCATTGTGGGCTGATACATTACCTGGCACAACAGGACATCATGATCTGTGGCTGTGCTCCT